CTTTCCTACCACCGTACTAGGGAAGCTGTTGCTGCAAGTATCTTGAGATTTCATCATATCCCTGGATCTACTAACCCTGCAGATATCCTCAGCAAACACTGGGACTATACATCGGTATGGCTTATGCTGAATGCACTACTGTTTTGGTCAGGAGATACCAAGGATTGCGGTAAGAAACACTCAGAGTCGACAGTCGCCACTGAGGGGAGTGAAAGCGTTACAGTTCCTCCCACGACTCAGAGTATCCGTGAGTAGATTGAGTCATGCTTTATGAGTCAACACGATGGAACAGAGAACGCTGGCAAGAACACGTTCTGAACGAAACCAAAGGACACGGTAAATTGGAGTATTCGACAGGAGTAAAGCATCCTGCCAACGAACCATTTCCCGCAGATACCACGTTGACTTCCGTATGAACCAAGATCAACTACCACGATGTATTGATCCAACACGCTACAACTAGCTTTACTGATCGCATCAATCAAAGCTCACAACACAGATTATGAATTACTAAGAAGCGAACTTTGCATTTACCTTGCACTCGTCTTGAATAGTTGCAGTTGATCTCGTTGGGTGGTAGCTACCTCTACAAGATCCCTCTATTCAAGTAGTATTTCCCCACGTTAGCACAACAGCACGATAGAGGCGTTGATCGTCTCTTTAGTTCCAGAATAACGTCCTCTAGTACAGTTTCTACACAAGTTTAGAATGGACGCATGCTTTCTCTCTTGTGTGACTTACTTTGTGGGATACAAAAGGCTCAATCACGCGAATATGGGATAGCGAACACATGGGTTTAGCGTTCGGGTTCGCGAAATGTTGCTCACATTTCTGCCACTCAGAAAGATTGTTGGCGTTGCCCTCCAATGAACCCTCCGATGTAGGGCTTGAGAGAGTGTCTTCCACTAAACCTTTCGAAGCCAACCTCTTAAGCCTTACATCGGAGGGGTTTTGGCTGGGAAGTTACAAATTCGCTTCTGAAGCTATGTTTGGTTCACTATTAACCGGTCGATTTATTTAGAACGCCAGGAGCGTTCCTCAATCGTGCATGACTTATATGGAAAACCGACCCTAATTTTGGGTCGGATTTAGCGACGGATTCCTCTTTAGGGTCGGGTTTCGAAACCGACCCTAAAATTAGGGACGGATTCTGAAAAAACGTCCCTAATTTAGGGACGGGTTTCGATTTAGGGGCGGGTTTGAAAACCGTCCCTAAATGGAAGCGGGACTGAGTGGTAAATACATTGAAATCCGACCCTAAAATAGGGTCGGGTTTCGAAACCGACCCTAAAATTAGGGACGGATTCTGAAAAAACGTCCCTAATTTAGGGACGGGTTTCGATTTAGGGGCGGGTTTCAAAACCGACCCTATTGCTACATGGAATTAGGGTCGGTTGTCAAAGATTTAGGGTCGGATTTGGGTCGTATTTTAAACTCACCCACGATTGAGGGACGCTCCAGCCGAGCGCGATTGATCGACTCCATTGGCTGTCCGAACCATAGACTCTATCGTGCGTTCGCTGGTGAAGAGGATCGGAGTTGTAGGCTTTTCAATACTTCCAACAATCAAATTTGAGCTTCGAGCCAGTGTCACAGGAGAGCGAAGCGTGCATTTGGCAGAGGACAACCGGGCAGCATCACCAGCCATGTACAAAAACCTACACCCGCCCAAGGTAGCCAACATACATGGCTCAAAAGCAACACTGCAAACCAACATGCTCGGATGACTATTGAATAGCTTGCTAGCTAGAGGATCGAGACAAGAAAGTGCAGCCAAATCATGCTGAAATCGTCGTCCTGCCTAGTCTACCTTCTGACTCTCTTGACCGCTCTACTAGGCTGCATGGAAGCAAGTATTGACGATCAATGCCATGAGGATGAAAATCAGAAAGAAACCGGGCAATCCTCACATCGGAAATCGACTATTATCTCTCTGATGGAATCAACCAAACCTCTGGAGCTTTAAAACTCTTCTTCTCTCTTCTTCTCTCCTCTGTTCCAATTCAATGTAACATTCCAACTTTAATCCCATCCAGGTGTTTCCTTGAGTTCCCAAATTACGCCCGCCGTTGGCGACACATTCTTTCTCTGGTACAAGTGTGTTTTGGCCAGCATGCCCTTGGCTTCTTCTTCCGTCTTGGCCACTTTGGCACGTCCTGCCGTCTTGAAATCATTCCATTGCTTGGCGCAATTGTCGAATTTCCCCAGCCGATAATACTGGTCTCGTTGATACCCCGAACTGACACAGCGAGACCATTCGTCCCAAAACATGGATACATCCACCACTTCCTTGGGTTGGACCATGGTGAATGGATGAATGAATGAATGAATGAATGAATGAATGAATGAATGAATGGTTATAGACAGAGAGCAAGTAAGTGTAGTGCGAGCTTGCTGCCGTGGGATGTGGCAATGGGTGGTTTTTTGGTGTGTGTTGGGGTTGCGGTTGTGGAGGTGGGAAGCTTTTCTCACTTTGAAGTTAGTGAAGCTGTCAAACATCCGGCAAGATTCTTCGCCCTTCATTTCGAGCTCCACGAACCACACACTCACCCCTCATTCATCTCCCCTCATTCATCTTTGGAGCCTTTCCTCTTGCCCGCCGTCATTCATGCAAGTAAGGCGTGGGATGTGCCATTTCAAACCAATATAATAGTATGAGTAGTAACATTCTCCGGCCCAACCATGAACTGACTGATCGGGAACTCAGCGAGAAGCGAGGCCTGAAGCGACTCTTGAAGCGTCAAATGAGGCGACGGAAACTGGAAGTGCGGTTGAATCAAGCCATTATGCGAAAGGATGCCGTCACGGAACAATTTTCCAGAGTCGAGTTGGACCAATTCCTGCGAGAGGAAGAGAACGAGCTGTTCAAAACGCAATCAATGAATTTGGTGGCACTGGAAAACGACTACAACACAAGTAGTAGTACTATACTGCCCAAAGAGCATCGAGAAAGCGAAGCAGAACAGGCCAAGGCACAGTATGACATTGAAGAACTCTACCAAACCTACTACGACCTACTCGAGAAACAATTAGAATCGAAACAAAATGGAAACTCAGAGCATTACGAGAAAACGCCGAAAGCATGCGATACAACCAATGGAACTCTCATCAAGGATCACCAAAAAGCCGAGGCCAGAGTGCTCTTGATCAACATGACCAAGGGGACACAAACGGTGGACATGTTTGAAAATTCAACAGCACTCATGGGCTATGTGCGCCAAAAGTTTCAAGAACGTGCTTGTTTGGCCATTTCTTCGCTCTGCAAGTTGGATCCCAGACGGGCTGATCTGGGACAACAACCACCTCAATTCTGGAATCTACTGTTGGCGTGCCGATCCATTTGCAGCATTGGTTGTGGACCCGGCTGCGATGTCCTGGGATTGGTGAAATTCTTGCAGTGCTTTGCTGCCACTCCAAAAGACGAGACTTTGGTCGATCGAGTAATCTTTCTCGACTGGACCATGGACAAGTGGGAACCATTCTTGAGGCCGCTCATAGACGGGGTTCTAATACCACAAAAGTACGTGGCATCCGCCGACTGTGTGTTTGGCGACGTGCTGCGTCCTCTGTCGGAGGATTGTAATCAAACAGCCAAGGATCTACTATTCTTGCAAGAAGAAGGGGGTGTGGATCTCTACGTGACATCTTACCTGTTGACGGAAACCAGGGGAAAGTGGCATGACTTTTATAGAGACATTATTGACATGGCCAAACCGGGGGCGTTGTTCTTGTTTGCCGAGCCCAAAGCGTGGCAGCTGCACAGTCTGATGGAACAGCATGGTAGTACCAAAATGGAGTATGTGTGGTTGGATTCATCCATGTATAGTCCAATGATGCAAGCACTCGAAGGACGAGTCGGTCCTGCAGTCTTGTTGTGTAGGAAACTGTAACACAAAATGTGTAGTAACACCGTACTCAATGCTCTTGACAGGCGTCGTAAGTCTACATGACGTTGTAGTGTTTGGGTACACCCCATAACCGAGCAATGACGACGTAGCTAACCAAGTCTACTGATCAATAGTCTTCGGAAACCATGTTCCTACCGCAGTCATGATCATACGCAGTTGCTGTTGCGATAAATGATGTTTCTTTTTATATGTATTTTATCATCTATTTGTGTATGTAGCTAGCTATCATAGCATTTTTAAGCAGACACCTCCACCGCAGTTCGCTTTTGACTCCTTACTCGTTGCCGCCTTACAACCACATTGCCGCCACCGCCACGAGCCTTCTTGTGGTTCTCAAAGTACTGCAACATGGGACGCAACCAGGTAACACCGGGTGCATTTCGTCTTCGACTGGATTGGATCGCCGCTGCTTCCCGTTCGGCTTGACGCAAGTCCGATCGAGGATATCCTTGGATCATGAGCATGCGTTCCCGGTCCCACTTGGCCAGTAGCAGTTCTTGAGGTACCGTGGCGGTCGGACGATCGACCACCGGTGTTGATTCTTCTCCCACAATGTTCCATCCCAACCCAATCGGTGGACCCTCCAACACGGCGGGATTGTCGCACAAAATGTTGGCAAAGACTCTTGCAGATGCCGTCGAAAATCGAACTGCCTTGTGGTCCAACAATGCCGTCGAACTGCCACCATCCGTCCAAAGACGACACCGTGTGCTGCTCGGTTTGAGAACGCGACGAAGTGACTCTTTTTGCGTTCGGACCTTGAGGCATCCCTTATTGCTATTGCTAGACTCGGGTGTAGCTACCACACTTCCAGCGCTGTTGATGCTCGACGCAATGGATGTGTCATCGCGTGGTGTTTGCTGCTGTTTGTTGCGGTTAGTGAGTTTGGACAAAAACGAGAGGGATCCACGGCGAGTTTGCCGTTGTTTATTCTTTGTCTTTTTGTTGGTGGCAGGTTTCTTGGGGCTTGCTGTTTGTGGCAGTGCGTCACAGCTGATAAAGACGGGTTCATCATTGCCTGCTGGCATGTTGCTAACATTCGTTGCTGTCTCTGTAATACTGATCATGGTGAATGCTTGTGTTGTGAAGTGGATCTATCGAAAAAGAAGAAAAATGAGACCACGAACCGAACTGACAGCAATTTCTTTTTGGGGAGCTGTTGGTTGGGACGTTGCTAACTAATTGTGGCGAGAAAAACAATGCTTTCTCGCTTTTATGTTAGTTAGTTCAGTTTAGATCTGTGAGAGGGTGCGTTGGATGGATGAATGGATGACGACCAAATCAACAGATACACCAAAACATGTTGTGATAACAAAGCGTTCGTGTGGTCGTTGTGATGATCCAACCTTTCTTGCTTGATGGTTCGGCACCTTGTTTCTTCTGCCCAAATGCCCAAATTGGCCTTGGAACATGAAGATTGATAAGGCGACAAGGCGACTTTTCTACTGACATGGGTGCTTCATCAGGACCACCCAGGAAACATCTTTGCTGCGATACAGCCTCGTGAAATCTATTTTGCAGTTGCAAGGGGTTGACGTGTCCCCAGTGTTCCTGATCTTTCGGTGAAACATCACCTCCGTGACCTGGTTAAAAGGGAGTTGCAGCGACCTTGACTTCCTAACTCTTCAGAATTCGTAGTCAACCGGTGACACTTTCAGAATCGAATGGATCTCAGCCTGTCTTGGAAGATTCACAAGGAGCCGAAGGGGCTAATGTCTTTCATCAAAGTTCCAGCGATCATTATAACAGGCCGTTATTTTGGGCGGTTATGTGACAAAGACGGCAGAAAAAAGACCGTTGGCTTGACAAAATCGTGGGGGAATGACAGCTTCCCTAGCTTATGGATTGTAGCTTCACAGGCTTACAATGAATGAAATCGAATGGTCAATCACGGGGACGGGGGAAGCAACAACACCCACGTCGTGGATGCGTGGATATTGCTCTTCATCCAGATGACGGAGAACAATGGCAGAGGCAGTTTCGTGCAGACGTGGACATCGGGGTTGGTGATGATGTGCTATTCCCGCAATGAAACGCAAACGGCGAACCGGCACCAACGATATGAGAGAGCCCCCGTGATGAAACAAGGCTGGAGGATTGAGATTGGAGGGACGATCCAAAGTCAACATCAAGGACAAGTGGAGAACCCTTGGTAGAAAGCGACAGCGAAATGCCACGAAATGCATTGTCAACAAAAGCCATGGTGGATGGGGTGACTTCAATTCGGCATATCAAAAGAACAAAGGGCCTCTAGGACAAGACGATTGAAGATTTGACTATTGGGAAAGGGGAAAACATTCCTACTGACATTCCTCGTCGTCTATGTATGAACTGATGTGAACGTGGAGCTGTCTCTTCGGGTGGCACTGTTTCGTTCTCCAAAGTGTGTGTTGGCAAGAACGCAACCCAGTAACTCAGTACATGCCGCGCTTCAACTCTTGCATGAGCATTCCGGCCGCCTTGATTGCAGTCTTCTTGTCTCCCATGTCTTGTTCACCATCGGAAACACAAGAGATGGCTCTGACCAATCTTGACAAGCTTCAATTGCATCTCAGTAAAGCAATCGCTACAATCCACTTGGATCACGTGAAAAGCGATGGGCCAAGACGGGCACTGGGCGACTGCTTGAAGGATCTTCGCGAACCAACTGTTGAACGTGGAAACAACCAATTCGCAGGCTTTACTGTGGCTTATCAAGCTGGGACATGAACGAAGCCCGTCGTGTGCTCAGTGAAGACAGGGAGGCGAGCTCCCGCAAGCTTTCAAAGCTCGGAAGCAGTGCTGTCGGAGGAGAAAACGCGCATTGCCCCACCAATATCGCCGGTGACTCTTCAAGATGTTGAACGCGATCTATGACAAGCCTTGTGCTGGATTGGGATTCAGACACTAGTAGTTGTCGTCGAATTGGGAAACGACGATTGGGGCAAAGGGTTGTTCCTGACTTTGGACATTTTTGATTTGTTCTAGTCGAAAATGTTGTTCATTGTGATAGCGCTCTTGAAGGTAAGATTCAACTCTTTGCAGCACTTGTTCCTGCGCATCTTCCAGCGTCGGTATGGCAAACAAGGAATCTAAACGTCCCTCGTAGTCCCCAATGGCGCCCACCTTCCAATTGTCGCGAAATTCTTTTGTCATGAATTTTCGAATCATGCTGTACATCATGTTTGCAGCAGTGGGTGTATTGTACCAAGTGATCTCCTTGTACAGTGCTGGATAGTAGTTCCACAATTCCGCGACACAGCGCTCTTGAAACTGAACATTGACGCTCCTCAGAGTCATTCCTTCGCATGAAGCAGAAATGATAAGTCCCTTCCTCATGGATTCGGGGCTGGTCGAAGTGGCTCTCATGATGTAATAGAACGCAGATTGGTAGACCCGATAGTCTTTCTCGGATTGCACCTTGGAAGGATCCAATTTCGCAAAATCCGACACACAATGATAGGTTTGCTCGGACGGAACATAACTAATGTCCAAGATGTGTCCTGGCTGTTGCATCATGAGCTCTCGTAGAGACCGAACGCCATCTTCGACCGTCTCCTGGATGCCATATTGTTCTCGAAAACACTGCAGTTTGTGCGCAGTCTCGAGCAGTGCTTCTTGACTCATGTTGGGAGAACAGCACAACGCCAAATGGGCGTACTCCAAATCGGGACGATTCTGGATAAACGGCGCGGATTCGATAGCCGCCTTGATCGACAGCGCTCGTTGTCGCTCTCCCGGGGTTAACAGCAGCTTCATGGTCGTCTTCTCACTGATGCAATATGGTTTGTTTGGGTGGTTGTTTTTGTTTGCTTGCTTGTGGTCAAGCGCAATGCCTGTGTCACGTGCTGGGCGCAGGTGGCTACCAGTACCAGGTATTGAAAGTGGCGAGTGTGACGCGATTGGAGGTCACAAAGCAAGCAAATGCCAGCATGCCAGCATGCCTGGTCATCCCAAACGATACAGCTGTACCGGTACTGAAAATAGATGAAAAGGCTTTTCATAATTGCTTTTCATTGATGGGTGGGTGAGTTTCCGGTACTTGAGGACAACGCCATGTACGGTACGATACCATACAACCTGCAAGAACTGAGATCCACCCAGCCACCGGTCATGGTACTCTGCAGCGTACCGGTTCTGGTAGGTACTGGTCGAGTACCGGTACCTTCACTCTCACCAATCCCAAGTGCAACCTGTTCTGGATCCGAATGAATCCTTGTTTTGATGGCCTGCCGCCTTCACAAAGGCACACCTGATTTCATCAGCCGGTGTGTCTTGTATGGTACGATTGTCCACCATCCTGAGACCAAGAACGCGCAGATGCTTACCCGAAGCTATTCACTCCAAATTACCTTTTTCTGATCTACAGTTTGTCAAAGCAAGGATTCTGCCTGAGACCAAATCATATTTGCAAAACTGCAACAAATACATGTGCAATCAAAAGTTAGCAGCAATTAGAGAATTGGCGGGTCTTCGTGGTAGTGAAAGAGTTCCAAGTGAGGGCTAATGTCACCACCAAGATAGTGGATCACAGAGCAAGATGATACCAAGCAGATGGACAAAAGGGGAAGGACCGCTCCCATACTACATCCTTCATGTTCCCTGTGGCAAGGATAGTGAAAGTACAACTAACTGTAAGGACGAATACCGAATGGTCTGGGTGAGGAAAGCAAAAAGCTTTAACCCTAATCAATATAATGCAACGTCTAGACGTCTCTCAGTATTGCCCCTCACTGTCAACGTACTGTACTAGTATCAATCCTTAGATCCATTGCCACTGCTTCCCCTACACTCTACTCATCAGGAACTACCCCTGCAGACCCTCTGGCTGGCCTCTTCCAACCCCGCCACTTCAATGCACCCCTTGATCCATTCCCCCACTACAGCTGGCGTCACTTAGTCACTTACCCCTCTACTACATGTAGTGTAATTCCGTAGTAATCTATATCAACACCCTCGATCCATCATCAAGGATATCGATGCTTGATCGAAGATCTGTGCTGTCATTAAAAACCAGCACCGTACACACTCCACACTCCACACTCCACAACGTCGACGATGAAATTGTCATTATCTTTTAGCCTTCTTCGCTTGCTTCCTCTACTACAAGTGGCCGCCCAAGGTCAGGCTCAGGAGGACTTTGTCTACTCGGCGGGAGGCGTCCATTGTGTCGAGGCTGGTGGAGTCACCATCTCATTGGCTGTGGCAATTTCACTGGTTCGTCTGGGACCGCATTGGGCTTTGGCTCGGAGGCGACGGGATTTGCTACTTATGCGTTTGGGCAGTTCGCGTCGGCGTCTGGAAATGTAGCCATGGCCATTGGATTCAACTCCACAGCCGCCAGCAACAGCAGTTTTGCGGCTGGTGTCAACAGCCGCACCGTTTCGGATCCATTGGTGCCAGGAGGGTCCAGTGGTGGAGGTGCAGTGAGCATGGGCATTGATTGTGCTTCGACCGGTGATTGGGCAATGAGTCTGGGCTCTGGAAGTGAGGCTGTGGGTTATGCCAGCGCAGCCATTGGAGAGCATGCGGTTGCCCATACTTGGGGGGAGGTCAGCCTTGGATTGTACACAGAAATTCCAGAACTAAGTCTCGATGAACAGAGAAGTCAAGCTGTCATCCCAACCTTTCGTGAAGAAGATGTCGCTCTTCGTGTCGGGGTTGGATGCGCCAAGAAAGAACATGTAGGTGGCGTCGGTTGCGAAGAAGAAAAGCGACATGATGCAATGCGTGTCTACAAGTCAGGGCGTCTCTATTTGAAGAAGCTAGATGGAAGTGTCATTGAGGACGTGGCAGACGCGATTTCTACATTGAAGGCGGAGATGCAGTCGCTGAAGGAGGCGCTGGCTGCAATGAACGGAGGAGGATCTGGATCGGGTGGGGCCAGCCGTCGCCTCACCGAAAGCACGTCGACAATGGATGCCTTGTTCTACATGGTAGTCGGAGGGCTAACGGCACTTGTCACATCCAGGATGCTTGGTTCGATTTTTAAATGGAAGGCATTGGTGGTCGGTTCGATCTGAAACAATACCATAAGAACTAGCTTTCATGAGAATGAAGATGTCTCCACTTGCCCCAAGAGAATGAAGATATCTCCAGTGCCTTCCTTTCTGGAAGCTTCCGTTTCGTTACGATGTGATGGCTAACGGCATACTACAACATGGGCACACGTCCTCCATGAGATGGACGGTGCAATGGGCATTGCACGCTAATGTTGCATAGACAGACAATCCGCGCAAAGGTTGGAATAACACAGAGTGACAGTCAGTGCTACTCGGAGGTGCAACATAGTGGCATCATTCCTCAACGACACAGCGAGGGCCCAAGGGAGTTCGCAACGTCGGCACCAGGCTCTGCAAGAAGCACACGCCGTGTTGTTACGGGTGGCACAGCCGAATGTACCACGTTCAAAGATAATATTGCCTTTTGGCATGCATGTGGAACAGTGGATAGCAGTCATGCCGTTGACCATTCTATTCAAGGACCGACTGCAGCCACATGCGCAGCCTCATCAAAAACCTTACTGTCAGATTTTTGCTTGTGAATGCGACAGCAGGTGTGAAGGCAAGTCCTCCAACGACATCATATCAGACTCGGCATCAACTGCTGTTGTGCTCCTGTTGTGCTGACAGCGCTTCTTCGAACCGTTGCCGTTGCCGGTACCGTACCTCCTACTCTATCCTCAAACTGGATTTGCTTGAACTGGTCCGACAACTCACTGCGAACCATTCAAAGAAATTGCTGGGTTTTGCTTGCCACCAAAATCCTGGAAAGTGTTGTTGAAAGGATGCTTGGCGCAAGGGGAATGCATAATCCATGGGTGATTTCCAACCATGAGATCTGTAGATTGCCACTAGGTCATGAAGACACTTGGATCTTTGGCCCATGTGTCCTGTGTTGGTACTAATGCCATTGAAGATTCCTCGGTCCGTGACACTGGCTTCAACATACAGTGGCAGCGCGGGTACTCCCTGGTTGTCACGGGTGACATTTGCTACCAACAATGACATGGCAATATCTTCGCAATTGAAGTATTTGTCAACATAGTCCAGAATTTCTTGTGGGTGTCTTGAGCTATCACTGTAGAATTTCATGTATTGTTTGTGTAGAAAGCTGGCCTTGGTCAGGACCAAGTTGGATTGTTGTCGAAAAAACAGCACCGGCCATGCGTGGTAGGCAAAGGATCCATCACTGTCTTCCACAGCCAATCGAGGGTAGAATCCCACCATGGAAGAGGGTTTGATTCTCCAAGCCGCAAACGCCAAATCTAATGCCTGGCAGTTGACTCTGACATCATCATCCACCATAAAGATGGCATCAGATGCCTCGTCAATGGGCAAGAAGCGACTGTTTAATGAATTTTTGGTGGGGATAAAGCTGACTGGGACTTTGTGTGGTTTCTTTTTGGGAGGATCTCCTTGGTCCGCCGACCAAACGATGAATACTTGGTCAACAAGGTGGCTGCATCGGGAAGCATAGTGTTGAATGGCATCTTGGAGTTCTCGAGGTCGTTTGTAACTATTGATCACTACAGAAAACTTGTTGGGAGATAATAAAATAGTCGCAGCACCACTCTTGATGTTAAACAGGTATGTGGAAAACATCAGGTCCACTAGAGAAAGAAACAGGGACAGGCTGATCAGAACACCCACGGCACAACAGAGCAACTTCTTCTTGGGTGATAACACATTCCATTGCACTTTGGCCATTTGAACTGGTCGACGGAACCACCCTGGCTTTTGAGACATCCTGTACCAGGTACCGGAAGAGACATTCAGCGGTGACAACATGGCCAAGGATGAACCTAGATGCCGTAGTGGTGATGCTTGTCACTCCCCAACTCTGTTTTGACTCCAATGGTGAGAGAGTGGCAGGAAGTCCCCCGATGACGTCACTTTCGCGACTTGCGCGAGCCAAGTCGCGCTTATCGCGGTTTCCAAGTCGCGATTCTAATAAATCGCGACTTGCAGCGTGGATTTCGCGACTAGCGCGACTTGGTGCGACTTTACCTGCTTTTTACTTGTACAAAATCGCGACTTGGAACGACTTGAATCGCGACTTGCGCGAGTCTGTGCGACTTTGCGCGACTTAAAACGACTGTTATCGCGACTTTAAGGACTTGCGCGACTTCAACCACTTTTCGCGACTTCCACGATCACCAATCGGGGGACTTCCAGGACAGGTATGAAGACATGCAAAGTCGCGATGAAGTCGCGGAGTTTGATCTATTCGCGCACCGCGATTCGCTAACGATTCGCGCTCCGCGAATAGGAACGACTTTCAGCGATCCATCTCGACCCAGGTGAGGCCAAGTTGAAGTAGGATTTGGCTGGGGTTAAGGCCTAATCGACTGTCTTCCAGGACGACACCACCACCTCCAACCTCGAGGTCCTTTAAGTAACCCCTCGGCTCCCTACTAGTAAGTAACTCCTAAGTACCCAAATCTCTCCTAAATAACCTTTCGACACTCTGCGATCGCGCCAGCTGTACCCCTGCGTGCCCAAGAACACCAATCTTCACTGTTCATGGGGAACGAGCACTGTAGACTGTACTGTACCTAGTTTTCTCAAGCCCCCAACCCTATTTTGCGCCCCAGATATTCACAACCACCATTAATTATTCAAAATTCCCTCGTATCATCTAACCCTAACCCTCACGTCGTCGGTAATCACTTACTTGGCCAACCAGCGAACCCAATGACTCAGATATCCGGCAGTTACCAAACCGTTTTCAAAATCATTCGGCCGTGCGTTTAAGTTTGGCTTTAAAGATCGGCTGACATGCCCAGTCTTAAGCACCCACTAATCTTTCAGGGATGGCATTCCGATCACGTTGTGCAGTTTTCTAGCTAGTAGAGTACGCTTGTAGGCCTTAACGGAGTACTTAGACTTGTTATCGGCTACAGTAGTCACCATCGCACGGTGGTCCTTTTCGTGTTCGATGCCTTCCTTTGCGTCCCAATATCGCAGTCCATTTGGGGCACGTCTTGACCCGTTCGGCTTGTGGACTGTGAACACCCGATTTTCGTATGTGACTAGGTAGTGCTCCTCAACTCGGCCGAGTGATAGGATGTTCGCGATCCCATCTGGCAGTGCACTACGCTAAAAGCTAGTGTAAAGATCTTTCGAGTGTTTTGAGTTTGAGAGAATGAAAATTATGAGAGAGATTAGAAAGCTATGAAAACTAATCAACGAGAGAGATCTTCAAGGCCATGGATACAATTTACTCCCATGGGCATCCGGCAATCAGGTAGGAGTTGGAATAGCGTAGGTGTTGGTAGGCAGTAACTTCTATAAAATGTGTTTCTTGCTCGGTGTAGAGTAGAGGCAATTATTGGCTTATTAAGCTCAACTTTATCGCTCCCCCATTGCCGAACAGCTCTGCAGCCTCGAGATGATGAGTCTCGAGCGAGCAGTTGGAATCACCCAGCACTAATTCGCATGTACTGGTATGCATGCAGGTATTTATTTACGCTTGAGCGCTGCCTGTACTCAAGCGCTAGCCTTCGGGTGTCACGGAAGGTTCTTTGATCGCGTACGTCAGTAGAGGTACGTCGAGTTCGCATTCGGAACTGACGACTGACGTCAGTGGAGGTACGTGTTCTCTATCTCGTTGATTTCTCCCCCAGGAACCTCGCGGAATTCCTGGGACTATGTTGGAATGATCTTCGAGCGGTACCGTTCGTGAAGACTGGTGTTCTTCGCGATTCCTATGCAGGAATCGTACTGACTGTACGAATACTAGTACGAAGTCGGAATACTAGTTTCTTCTCTTAACTCACGAGCGAAGTGGAGAGCCATTCTGAAGGACTTAGACGTTGGATCACTAGACATCCGGCAAGCCTATGTCACGGAGGGAAGTGGTGAACTCCCCCATAGTCTTGGTATTATCTAAGCGGAACGTCATATACTATTTACGAGTGAGACTTGACTGACTCACCGTTGGAGGTGAACTTCTCCCCCCAAGTCTTAACGGAGTGGTACGAGTCACGGGGAACTGAAGACTACAAGTTCCACGAAACGAAATGCATGCTTACGGAGCAGTGGGTTACTCACGGGGCAACCTTACTTAAGAGCCGTATTCCACCTTGAGCCCTGCAGGATCGGATCAACTACAGACTTGTCTAAATTGCGAGAGGAGGACTATACTAATTCAGTAGTGCATACAATTATCTAACGAATGTTCCTGGTCAATGTGAGTTTCTCAACGAGGTGGAAGTTAAATCCTCATACCGGGGATCGAACTACAGGCCTCGGAACCTTGCCTCTACTGTGGATGACCGAGGGTGACACAGGTAGTAGGGCTGACTGTTAATCCAGTAACTTCTATAAAATGTGTTTCTTGCTCGGTGTAGAGTAGAGGCAATTATTGGCTTATTAAGCTCAACTTTATCGGTAGGCATCCTACGCAGACCACGATGTAACTCGGAACACATGGAAACTCTAGCTCTAGTAATCTACTAGTAGCATGGAAGTCGCGTGGAGAATCTCCACGCTAGCTAAATATCTATCAGCGAGGCTGTGTCGATACCTAGTGTAACCTAGTATGACTAGGCGGTCATTGAGAACCCTGTCTCAAATGACTATTCACGAGAGACTCAGTCATGAGTCGAACCCATGGTTTCTATTTCCTTCCGAATGAGGTGACCTCCGGTCCATGTGGTCCCAATGTACTCGGCCAATCTTTCAGTGGTTGTCGTGTATGATGCAAATGCCGCGGTTGCGTTGATCATGTCGTATACGTGTTCCTCCAGGCCCTCAGTTCGGCCCTTGAACGTCACAGTAGCCCGGCTGCTGCCGCTGCTCGTGTTTGTATTTCTCCTGTTCCCACGTCCGCGGCCTCCTCTGTCGCCTCTGCCGCCCCTTCCACGTCCTCTGCCTGATCCTCGGCTCGAGCCTCCCGTGAGGCTGGACATTGTGGTGCTGTCGGCGGTGTCCTGGGACGTATCTGGGCGATCTCCGGTGCTGGGTTCAGGCATCTTCGTTGGGGAATGACCCGCGTTGGGCCGTTCCTTGTAGCCTGCGGCTCAGGCGTTCTGCTTCCTGACTACTTGTATATCACGATGGTGTTGATGGTCTCGAGTAAGTTATCTTGAATGTTGAACTGACTGTGTCTACAGCAGGGTTGTCACTCTAGTCTAACCAGATTCAAGATAACTTATGACTATCTAGTTCCTTCCCATTGGTCTTTGTGGTTTCCTTCCTTCAGTCATGGATATTAGGGACTGAGAAGCTAGATTGGATCTCAACAAACAATGCAACACAACTGAAGCCATGGCATCTAAGGTGAGGAGCATAGCTAGCTAGGCTCAACAGCAAGAATTGGATGAAGCAGCAGCGTTAGTCAAAGCACTTTATTGGACAACAAATGCTGGGGCTGCCATGGTCAAACTCTTTCAGGTCGCGATTTCTCCTCTCAAGTCTCACTTGATATCAAATTGTCGGTGGTATTCAGCGCCAACCTTCTTCAGAAAGTGCATGGTTGTTCCAATGCTCAATACTCGGATCATCGATACGATTCTCCCAAGCGGTTCCCACTGCCATGACAGTTCCTTTAGTATCCTTGAGTAAGAGCAGTTTGGGGTTGGGTACCGGTACCGTACCAGAGTAGTGGGATTTGGTCTAAACGTGCATCTAAACCAATGACGCGGTTTTTGAGGCTTCCACTAATTTGCATACCGGTATGGTATAGGGGTCGTTTGCTGGCTGGTGTTACACGGTAGTTCGCATATCAGAACCTCAAACGATTGGTACAGAAAGTACAGCGGGACCACCGTGCCGACATCGGCCCAATCCGTACACTACCGCTGTAGAGCCGCAGTAGGGGCGATTGGCCAATCAGAATGGTTCGATCTTTCAATTTCGATGACGTCAGTCGGCTGTGACGTCAGTCGTGCACATGATTCAATATTTCGCTTTCTCTGTGTCAGCTTGATCAGTCTCTCGTCGTGTTGTTTTCGTGTTGTTTTCGAAAGACCGACGGAGCATGCATCCAGAGGATTTCGAATTTGAGCCAGATAGTGAAGCAAGACAATAAAACCGAGGTCATCCCTTCCGTATTCAGTAGCCGCAGAGGTACTTCGCAGAGGTGTACTTACCGCATTCAGTAGCCGCAGATTCAGAAGCCGCAGAGGTACTCCTCACCGCAGCCGAGGACATAGCCGCTTTCATCGCAATCCTCCGAAGACGATGAGTGCGAGTACGAAAGAGGCGCCGGCTGGTATCGACCACTACATCCGGAACCTGTACTTCAGTGGACTGTTCCCCAAGGTGGACGGCAACGGCATGGTGTTCTTGGCGGCTGTTGGCAAGACAGGACGTGCCTCTGTGAAAGCTAGGACTCCTCTAGTGGCGGGGAAATTGGATCGGCATCTGCAGAACCATTTCCCGCAGGGAGCAGTCCACGGAGTCACGTCCCCTGTTATGAGAGCGCTTGCAAGGAAGGACGAAGCAGCAGGCCAGTCCCAAATTACAAGTTTCTTCAAACCCGGGAAGGTCATCGACAAGCCATGGAAGGCAAAGGAACAGTCTCTAGCAGCCATGGAATTCGAGATCTAAGCTTTCACTCGAATTTTCTTCTTCATGCCTGAGATATTTGACCGCAGCATCCTGGAAAAGCATTCGAGGTACAAGTTCATGGACCCAGCAACAGCCAAAGAAGGACTCAAGACACCATGCCCCCATTGTGGCACCAACAGTCCACGGAGTCACATCTCCTGTTGTGAGAGCGCTTGCAAGGAAGAAAGCTG